AGGACTTGGGCGTATGCCCGGAATCGAATTCCGAGTTTCCAAGCCCGAGAAATGAAATTTTGAGTAAAATTGTTTTTTGAAATTGTTAAGGAAAATTAAAATGAATATTGATTAGAACGTGTTGGTATCGGGCCCGTATTTTGGTTTCGGTGCCCGGTACAAGTCTTATATGTGATTTAAGAGGTTTCTGTAAAGTTTGGTTAAAATCGGACGTCGTTTGATGTGTTTCGGACTTGAATTCCTAAATTTGAACTTGATGGAGTTTTTGAAAATTTCATTGATCTTGAGGTATAATTCGATGTTCATGATATTTTTTTGGCGATCTGATTACATGAATATGTTCGTAGAACATTTTTGAGGTTGTGTATATACTTGGGTTAGAGTTTCAAGGGCTCGGGTGAGTTTCGAGTAGGTTCCGGGATGCCTTAGGCTTAAAAAGATCAGATGTTGCAGGTTCAGGAAATATTGCAGGTCATTGAACCCTCTTGCGCGGTCCACGAGAAATCGCGTGCGGGCGCAGAGGGGCTAGTGTGGCCGCCATTGAGCGGTCCGCGGTCGGCTTTGTGCGGTCCGCATGCGGCTATGATCTACAGGTCTTCAGGGAGGCCTCTGCGGCCGCGGTCCTTTTTGTGCGGTCCGCACAGGGAGTTTCAAAGAGGTATAAATTCACGTGAATTTCAGTTATTTTTACACTTTTCAAAACGTGAGGCGATTTTCTAAACAACCTTTCTTCTCCAAAACGATTGGTAAGTAATTTCTAACTCATTTTCTTCACTTCTTAATATCTTTTAACATGATTTCAACTTCAAATCAAAGATTTTTATGGGGAAATTGGGTGTTTTGGGTGGAATCTAGGTTTTCTAAAATTGGGGATTTGGACCTCAATTTGAGGTCCGATTTCAAAACAAACCATATATTTGGATTTGTGGGGGAATGAATAACCGGGTTTTGGTCCGAACCTCAAGTTTCGACCACGTGGGCCCGGGGGCATTTTTGACTTTTTTGGGTAAAACCTTGTAAAACTTATTTTCATGCATTGGGGTTGACTCATTTAGCATTTATTGATGTAATTAAGTAACTTATGACTAGATTCGAGCGGATTGGTGGTGGAATCAAGAGGTAAAGTTATAATTGAGACTTGAGTGGTGTTCAAGGAATCGAGGTAAGTGTTTGGTCTAACCTTAGCTTGAGGGATTAGGAGTGGAGTCATATTTTCTACTTGCTTCTTGTTGAGTACGACGTATAGGCATGGTGACGAGTATCTATACGTTGTTGTCGAGCATGACCGTGAGTCTTAAATTGATAGTGATTGTGTCCTTAAATGACATTTCAGATGCTTTAATTAATGATCTTCTATATTGCGCAAAGAATTGTTCTATCCTCGCAGATCTTATTTATGTTTGAGCATTGTCATTATTTGGGCTGAGTACAAGCTAAGTTAGGATTGGTTATAGCTGATTCTTCCTTGTCGGGATGATTGTTTCGATATCTTTGTTCCCTTGCCGAGAAACTATTATATTGCTTTTGTTCCCCCGCCAGGAGGTTATTATATCGCTTATGTTTCCCTTCCGGGATTTCTTGTAATTGGGTGATGAAATGGGACCGGGTGGTACGCCTGCCACAAGATATTATGAAATGGGAGTGGGTGGTACGCCTACCGCAAGATATTATGAAATGGGAGCGGGTGGTACACCTACCAAAAGATATTATGAAATGGGAGCGGGTGGTACGCCTACTACAAGATATTATGAAATGGGATCGGGTAGTACGCCTACCATAAGATATTATGAAATGGAAGCGGGTGGAACGCCTACCACAAGATATCATGAATTGGGAGCGGGTGGTACGCCTACCACAAGATATTATGAAATGGGAGCGGGTGGTACGCCTACCACAAGATATAATAAAATAGGAGCGGGTGGTACGCCTACCACGAGAAATAATGAAATGGGAGCGGGTGGTATGCCTACCACGAGATATGAGAAATGGGATCGGGTTGCACTCTTGCAACAAGATGAAACTGAAAGTTAAAGTTGCCTTTATTTACTTCATTTGTGATAGAAGTTATATTGCTAGCTTCCTTATTATTCCCTGTTATTTTCTTTTAACTGTTATCCCCGAAGCATGTTTTCCTTCCCCAGCTTTAACTGCTTATTACTTGTTTACTTTTCCGCCATATATTGTATAACTGCACAGGTTTATCTGGAGCCTAGCTCTAGCCTCGTCACTATCTCGCCGGGGTTAGGCTAGACACTTACCAACACATGGGGTCGGTTGTGCTGATGCTACACTCTGTGCTCTTTTGCATAGATCTAGGTCTTAGACATCAGCAGTAGCGCGGGAGCCAGCCTTCAATCCAGTGAGACACCGAGGTAGCTTTGCAGGCGTCCGCAGGCCTGACGTTTCCTCTATCTTTTATTTCAGTCTGTAGACATCTAGGTCTTAGACATAAACAGTTTATATTTTCTTTCAAACGGTTGTATTTAGTACTCTTAGAAGTTCGTGAGTAATGTGACACCAGTTCTTGAGTAGAGGCATATGTTGATTCTCGTATTATTGTTTCGTCTTCTTTAATTTAAGTCTTCCGCATAATTATTTAATTCTGTTGCTTCATGTTATCATTGATAATTGTTAAAAGAAGTAATTGTTAATGAAGTAAGCAGTTAAGGATTGGCTTGCCTATCCCATATTAGTAGGCGCCATCATGACTCCCGAGGGTGGGAAATCTGGATCGGGACACTAACAAAGAAATTGAATCATAGAACGCCTAAACCATCTTTTTCCGAATTCATATTTTTTTATGTTGTAGAAGGCAGTACATCAAAATGAGAATGTATTACTAATAATATGTCAATTCTCAGTACCTGGAGAGGTTTTTTCTTTATTTCTAGTTGAATATTTTGTGTTATAAATTAGGGTTTATATCTAACATCGATTAATTTATAACACGGAAAAGGTTAAATACATCAAAGCTAGAATCGCAATATAAGTTTTTACCATTGCGAGGTACAACTACAACAACAGTTACAGATATATTAAATAAATATGAAATAGCAATAAGAAATGAATTTAGTAGTATGACAACAGAAGTAGAAGAACAAAATAAAGAAAAAATTACAAATATGAATTTAATGACAAATTAGCAATATGTAATATTAGTCCGCTTTTGGTTTCCTATGCATATTCTGTTTATTCTTGCGAGTTTCTTCTGATCTTCCATGTCCAATTAGTCTTGAATATGGATTTCTGCTAAGAATTGAGGAATTTTTAAGAAGAGAGAGAGAGAGAGAGCGCGAAGAAGAATTGGAATTTTTATAACGGAGACAGCGCGAATCCGGTTTGGGACAATTCCGGAATTATTTTAGAGGCATATGTGCTAATATGTTTTAATTTTTTGGATTTCTGTATTTCCCAATCCTTTTAATTTAGAGAACGATAGATATATCCTAATGGTCTTAAGTTTAAGCTACTCCTCCTAACGTTTTTCTTTTTCTATTTTTGTCATTACGTTCAACAAACCTTTATAAACCAATATCTAGTTAAATGTACTTTTACTATTTTTCGTTATTGAACAAAAATGGAAAAAACATGAAGCCACATTAAAGCTATTTTAGTTCTATTTCAAACACAAAAAATAATTGCACGCACAGAGCGAAGCCAGTATTTTTAGTTTATTAGTTCTTATTGAATATGTTTTATTTACATGATTATGAAAAGATACTTTGTACATATTAAATAAATAGTGAATACAAATACAAAGTTTGATCGGTTCCCTGCACACGCATGCTTAGATTTTTATGAGAAATAGCATAAGAAAAATCATACAAAACTAATTACTACATAGCAGATGCAGAGTGTACGGCTCTCTAAGAGCCTTAGTATTTTTTTTTGTTACTTTAATGTGATTCGTACAGGTTTATAGACTTGATTGTATGTAGCGATTGGCTTCTTCTTGTTCTTTTTTTCTTTGCCATAATTATATTTTTCATTGGTAAGCCTAGTAAAATGTACCTTGAGATTGTAGTGAAGCAACTAACCTAAGTAACATTTTGATTTGTGAATAGTTTCTAAGTGTTCTGCTGGTACATATATATAGATTGTGCTGGTGCATATTAATAATCTAATTGATGGATGGTGAAGTTGGTATTCAATGTATTTTGCATATCTGATACAATTCTTCTGTAAGACACATCATTCCTGATTACCAAGTAATTTAGACTCCTTACTTTATTGCAAATTTTGTTTACTACCAACCCCAGACTCCATCCTCTGTTGCTCATTTATTGTCTGATATTTAGTTAAAGCATACTGCAAATATTAGAATTTTTTCGTATTGTCATATTTACTTTTAAACGACATAATTAAAATAGCTCTGCATTCATCTAATTGACTGATGCAAAGATAACTATTGCTGATGTTTACTGTAAATATATTTGAACAAATAATGAGAAACACTTATATAAGGGCACTTGAATGGAATTATACATGGTGCTGCCGGAGGAGCTGGAGAAAGCCTTTCAGTTTTTACCCCATCCAAACTACAAGGAGTATCTACAGGGTTTTTCGAGATTTTCTTCCGATTCAAACAATGTACATCACAATGGGCCTTCAATATCTCATACATAAAGGTTACACTTTAGGAAGCTTTTTCCATTTGATTATACTGGTGATATCCCATTTTATTGGACTCTAATATCTGATACACTACACATATATCAGAAGTTTGAAGTCTGACAGAAATCCTAACTACATATATGACATCCAAAAGTTACTTCTCATCATTTTCTGATGATATAATAGCATAAATGTTCACATGCGATATTAATGCAATATTTCAAAAATATGCAGTTGCACTTCTGACTTAAGTAAACTTCATATCACAAAGATCAGCTAATTTCAGATATTAAATCATGATCCTAAATGGTAGAGACCAAATTAAATACAAACCAAACTACTTCAATTTGTACCAAAGTACTTGCAATGAAATTGTACGAATAATGTCATTTAAAAGGAAGTAAATGTTTTAATTCACGGATTTTTCTCCTGTTTGATCACTTTTTTAACCTTGTTACTTGAAAATTGTGCAAGATCATCACCAACATCTACTACAGATGACCCATCCTCTTCTCTACTTCTTCTGGCAGGGGTCTTTGCGGGATAAGTCATCTCATTTTCAGCCATTGAATCCTACAAAGGAAAAATTAATTATTAAAACCCATATTGCAGATAAGAAGCTATACGTGCATATTTTGAATTAGTCACCTTGAAAGTTGTGTCTGCATCAGTGTATTGTTCACACTCAAAATCAGGGTCCTATTAAGAAAATAATAACATAATTAATTTAAACTTGATAATCCCTTATATAAAATCAAGAGAAAAATTGGTATATTATGAAGTATTTGAATATCACATACAGTGAATGTATCATCTTGTGGAGATTGACTATATTGTTGTATAATGTTATCGTCCTCGCTGATTTTAACAACATTATAAACTTTCGCATGCACTTTAATGTTGGAGCTCTTGATAGTCACTTTAAATAGGACTTTTTTGTCAAGAATATCATACAACTCCACTGGATAAGAACACTCATCAACAGCAGCAGAAGTCTAAGACTGAATTAGTGTTAGAAATGGGAAAACACAAAAAATTAAAATAAAAAGTATAGCTACTAAACCATCCCTTAAATCGTTATCCTACTTTTCATTCTGGTAGGAATGGTATCAAAAAAAATAATAGAGCTCTTCCTTTTGAGTGATATAACAAATGGTCAGTTCCAATTAATTTAAGGGTGTACTGGAGATTCGAGTTAATTTTTATTATAATATTGCAAATATACCATATTTACCTTTATTGAAAAAATATACTAACAATTAAAAAAAATATACCTCAATTGAAACTTCATTTAACTCATTAGCATATTTCCCAATGAGACTTGTTGCTTCACGATCCCAAAGATATAAAGCCAGTGTGATCCATTACTTGCACTCGAAGCTTGTACCTGAAAGACACGTTTAGAATAAGAAATTGAAACCTTAGTTTTATTTAATATTTTATAGTAAAGATTGGTCCTTATTTTTGTAACTTGCAACTTTAGTTCTATTTCACAGTAATTAGTGAAGCTTATCAAACCTATGAGTGGCAGAACTATCAAGACGATCAAATTTCTTGCAGTGAAATTTACTTCAAATTTTGTCAACCTTCTTTGACATAGATATGTCCTTCCTGAAAAGAAGTCAAGTTGTAGCAATGTATCTAGCAAATTTGATTGTTGGAATATTAATATAAATGCCAAGGAGCATAAGCTGTAAAAATTCCATTTATGTCCAAAATCAAATAGATAAGCAACTAAGCATAGATATTCAATTAGTTCCATTAAATGATACCTTCAATAATTCAATCTGTAAGCATTCAGATTCAATACCTTCTCATTTATCTCAATTATTAATAATTTGTTTATCTAAGATTATGAGAAGTGGTTAAATTTTACATATTAGAATAATAAAACAGACGTGCATAAGGGAATATCACATCAATAGAAGCATTTAGGATTTAAATCAAAGAAATGTTCCTTCTACTGTAATCATTCGAGAAACGGAGAGGAAAGACATTGCAACCACACCACTGCTAACCCTACTCTCCACTGCACCAAGAGTTGATGCTTAGGCTCCAAGTCTTAAAGGAAATATTTCAGATGTTAATACCCAACAAATAGGACCAATCCACACAGAAAAGAATGCTACATTTCCACGTAAACTAAAATTGCTAATTTGATTCCAACTGAACTATTCCACAGTAAAAAAAGTGTGAGGCCATAAAATATGTCTATAACAAAGATTTCCTACCAACTTTGTCAAAAAGAAATATGTCTATCAAAATGAATATTGTCTTTGTGAAGTTTTTTATTGTGAAATGCTCATCAGATCCTGCTTAACTTGAGTAATTCCTCATCAACGATTAAGCAGGATACTTGTGTTATTGTGCAAATTCTGCAAGAGTTGATTGCTTTCATCCATTATTTATGGAGCTTCACTATTTGCTGAAGGTCAATACAATTGGTTGTGAATCAATATTTTAGTTAACAATAATTAAGATCGAACAAAGTTATGTGGTTGCTCATCTTTTTTTGTTGCATAGCATGTTTGTATTTTATAAATAAATTCCAGATTATAACTTTTTGAGTCTTTTAGAAAAAATGGTTCTGTTGTATGCAATCTATTGCAACCGAATCATGAACTGTCTTAGCTCTTACATGTTGTAGTGGAGGTTTCCTTTTTATTAGTGAAGTTTTTTATTGTGAAATGCTCATAAACTTATGTAACAGGGATTCCAAAAAACATATATGTGCACATTTAGGAAAACAAATACTCCCTCCGTTTCAATTTATGTGAACCGATTGGACCGTGCACGGAGTTTAAGAAAAGAGAGAAGATTTTTGAACTTGTGGTGTAAAATGAAGCACATATATTTTGTGCGGCTATAAATCATAGCATAAAGGTAAATTGTTTCCAAATAGGTAAAGAGGTCATTCTTTTTAGCACGGACTAAAAAGGAAATAGGTTCACATAAATTGAAACGGAGGGAGTAGTATTTTTACATCTATCAGTGTTATACATACACAACATAACATTAGTTAAATACTAAAGAAGTTTAATAGATTAGTCACCTCCATGCAGTCGACCAATACTCTAATAGTTCTTCAACAGTTCCAGTAGCTAACTCATCAGAAACATAATAACTACGTTGAGAAGGTATTTGACTGATTCTGGAAGAGTTAACTTCATTCACACTTGCCAATCTGTATTTACGCAAGGTTGTATTAGTTTTAACCATAAACAATTATTTTTGTAGTATCCATATAAACTTAATATATGAAATAACTAACCTGAACTTAAATCCAACAGCTTGAGGAAGATCCGGGTTAATCCAGAGCTTTGAGGCATGCCAAGTATTACGCACAGAATATTTGCCTATATATAACTTTAGTTTCTGAACCAAAAAATTAACATAAAAAAATATCCCATGTCATCAAGACAATATAAATACCTTGAAATTTGTGAACTTTTATCAACTGCATAACAACTATGACCGGCTCATGGGGTGATCCCTCTAAATGTGGCAAGATTTGGTCAACAAATTCTCCCCAAAATGTTGCCGAGATATTATTCCTCCTGTGTAATTTATATAACAACTTAATCAGACACCGATAAGTAATCATGTTAATATATAACAACTTAATCAGACACCGATAAGTAATCATGTTAAAATATATAACAAAGTAAATTCATAGACGCAATCTTACTCATGATCTTCAAGTTCCACATTCATATAAGTGCTGGTCTTATCACCTTGGTTATGTCATTCTACTTCACCATAACTTACAACCTCTCCAATGACATCTATAATAATTTAGAAAAATGATCAGGACAAAGTTGATAAGACATTCAAATAAAAGAACTGCGAATTGAATACTTACTGAAGAGTTCACTTTCTTCAACATCAATATACCAAAAAGATGATCATTTTCTTCCTCTACAATCGTTTTATGAGTAAATGCCAACTTTAATTTATGCTGTGTGTATTTAAGTTTCGTATAATTGGGTCCAACCACAAAGTTCTTTATAAATTACAAACCCAATTCTTTTATCTTTGGTTTGAACATACGTATAAGAGACCGACCAATAGTCGCATGAATACGATCGCCCTAGAAAAAAAATTCATAATTAATATTGAGTCAGACAAATACTCAGTTGTACGGTGTTGTCACAGAGTATATTAAACAATGAAGCATCAATGGGTAAAACATAATATGTGAATGCTTGACTTTCCAAAATAACACATACAACATATTTGATGGTAAATACTAATCTAAATTGCAGTTGATTAAATACATGTTTAACCTAATGAATTTCATAGTACAAAGAAGAAGATGGGATTGTAGTCAATTTTTATGAAAAAATAAGTGCAACTAAAAAAGAATGCACCTTTTCGTCTTGAATAATTAATTCAAGGGAGACGGTGTTGTCTGGTTTGTCGCGGTTTGAAACGTGCCATAATCTCACTATTCGTACCTTCAAATTCCAACTCATCTTGTTACTCAATATATTGCAAATATAGCCAAATGCCGTCATATTTCTTTTTAGAAAAAACTTTATAAGAGGATTGTCTGTCAAATGCCGTCATATATATATATATATATACATACATATACGGAATGCAATAATTTTTGTATGGAAAAATAAACCCTAAATAGTAAGTAAGTACAAAAAAATTCAGTTACTATATATCTATAGATATATACGGAATGCAGTAATTTTTGTATGGAAAAATAATTTTCCATAAAAAGATCCTAGAGGCATATGCATTTGGGATTCCCCAATTAGGTGTTATCCCAAAATACCTGGCGTAGATGTCGTCGTCTCCTAAACTACACATCTCTCCAGAATCCAGATGCGAAAAAGATGAGAAAAAATGACCGAAAAAATCATCTTCACATTTGAATGTCTCCTCGCGTTGGACTAATTTCACATTTGACGACATTTCACATTTGGACTAATTTCCCATTTGAATGTCTTCTCTTCTCCCTCTGTATCCCAATCCAACAAAATTGTGGAACCGATCAAAATGCTTAGGTTTAAGCTTTTCCAGGTTCCCAATATTACGCGTTATTCGTATAGAGAAAATCAAGGATATCAGCTTTAATGAGGAAGCGAAGAAAATGGGATACACATTATTTGTCTTAGAGGGTGTGACCCAGTTTTTGTTCTAAATGGGATTCCCCATTTAGCTTGGTATCCCGAAATTTACTCATACGATTATTTAGTAATAATTTATTATTAAATATAGAGATAACTCATAATTGAGTCTAGATTTTTCGGCCTAATTGCAATCCCAAATATACTCAGTCCAGATTTTTCGGCCTAATTGCAAGGTTTCTTATACCTATAGATTTGGATTATGGTCATTATCTGTGTCACACCTCCTTTTTACCTACACCCGCCAGGGCATAAGGGAGTTTTTCCAATTAAGGGACAATCAAAACGGAATTTATTATTAAAGATTTAGAGTCTCCACTTGGGAGATTTATGGTGTCCCAAGTCACCGGTTAAATCCCGAATCGAGGAAAAGATTGAATCTGTATTACAGTCCGCGAACCAGAAATCTGAGTAAGGAATTCTGTTAACCCGGGAGAAGGTGTTAGGCATTTCCGAGTTCCGTGGTTCTAGCACAGTCGCTCAACTGTTATATTTGACTTAAATTATCTGATTTTAACAATTATGAACCTATGTGCAGATTTTAACCTTAACCGCTTTTATTCATTTTTAAAGAAAATTGCAATGTCATTAAAACAAGTCTTGAACCAGTCACATAAATGCACCCGTGGTTTTTGGGACATACTTTAACATCGTTGGAATTTGGATTTGGGTCACATAAATGCACACCCGAGTTTAGGGAGGTAATGTTATTAAAATACGCGCCTAAAGAGACTAACGCGTTGTCACACCTCCTTTTTCCGCACCCGCGAGGGCAAGGGAGTTTTTCCAATTAAAGGACAATCGAAAGGGGATTTATTTGTTTATTTCAGAGTCGCCACTTGGGAGATTTAGGATGTCCCAAGTCACCAATTTTAATCCCGAATCGAGGAAAAGAATGACTCTATATTATAGTCTGCGTACCAGAAATCCGGATAAGGAATTCTGTTAACCCGGGAGAAGGTGTTAGGCATTCCCGAGTTCCGTGGTTCTAGCACGGTCGCTCAACTGTCATATTTGGCTTATTTATCTGATTTTGTACAAATGTGAACCTATGTGCAAATTTTATCTTTTAGCCGCTTTCAAAATTATTATTATTAAGAATGTGAACATCGCTTAAAAACATGTGTTTGGATTGCGTCACATGAAATGCACCCACAATCCGGAACATATTTTATTCGACGTTTTGGGATTTTGGATTTGGGTCGCATGAAATGCACACC